ATATAGATTTAGCATTGATGATTTTACTTCTGCATATTTCCAGTGATTTTCACGTTTTCAATTAAAATGTTAAAATTTAGACAGAAAATAAAGATGTAAAATGTCTTAAAAACAATTATATTTTTTATTCTTATGTAAATATTCAAACAAACATGTATTTCAATAACAGTTACGAAACAAATTTCAATAACAAATGTAGCGCAGGTAGAAATTTATAAAGGTTCAATGTATTTTATTGCTTTATATTAGAGAGATTTGTAAATATATGAATACAAAAGCAATCCGTTCTAATAACTATTAAATCGAGTGGTTTTTCTAAATGAAGAACAATATTTTCATTAATTAGAAATAACGATATTAACGAAAAAATTGAACGAAATTCAATTTTTTTTCTTCGAAAGAGCCAAAGGCCAGATGATAAAACCTGTAATAAAACATGCTTTTGCACCTGATTCTGTTTATTTTTATGAGCACAATAAAGTAAATTTCAGTAGCTTTCAGACTTCTGAAGCCAAAATTTATTGGAATTCCAGCAAGATTTCTAAGTCTTCAATAGAATCGGGCTGATACGTACTTTTTCTGTACATATTACAGGCACAAAATACTTTTACTGCTTTCTCAATTGGGTTTAAACTCTACGATTTTCATAGAATTTTCAATATTCTATAGAATTTCTTTTGATAAGCAATCCGCTTCAATAACTATTAAATCAAGTAGTTTCTCTAAATGAAGAACAATATTTTCATTAATTAGAAATAACGATATTAACGGAAAAAATAAATGAAATTATATTTTCTTTTCTCGAAAGAGCCAAAGACCAAGTAATAAAATAAAGAAAATTTCAGTAGCTTTCAGACTTATAAAGCCAAAAATGTATTGGGATTTCGGTAAAAGCAACATTTCTAAGCCTGCAATAAAATCAGCTTGAGACGTACTTTTCCTGTACATTTTACAGGCACAAAACACTTTTACTGCTTTCTTAATTCTCATTTTTACTTAAGTTGTATCCAAATTTGTATATTATTATGAATTCTAACTTCTTCTTGAATTTAAGGACAAATTTAACTGATTTGTACTGCAAAATTGAATCTTCTTTGGATTAGCGAATCAATGGATAAATTTAACTCATTTTTACTACAGTTGTATACAAAGTTCCATTTTATTATAATTGCTAACTTGTTCTGGAATTTAAGCACGAATTTAAGTCATTTTTACTTAAGTAGTATACAAATTTGTATATTATTATGATTGCTAAGTTTTACTTGAATTTCTTTTTAAAAAATCACAATTGAAAGTTCATTATATTAGTGAATCAGTGCACGAATTTAACTGATTTTTACTATAGTTGTATACAAAGTTCCGTATGGTTATGATTGCTAACATTTTCTTGAATTTATTTTGAAAAAAATCATTGATTGAATCAAGTGTAAATTGCCATAAATTTTGAGATTTTTTGAAATCTTCGCTGTTATATAAGAAAATTAAGCGGATTATTTTACAATTTTGATATATTTTGTGATTGTTTTTCAAGTTTTCACTCTTGTATGTGGAAGTAAGTAAGAATTAATGCGATTAACAAAATAAATGGTTGAAAAGTTTAGAAATTGAAATTTTCATGTATTTAATGCTGAAATTTTATTAAAAGCACAAATTACAAGTAAAATATAATAGTTCAAATACCTAGTGCCTTCTGTTCAGACAACAACAACTAGAAATTCAAAAAACTAGTGCCGTGTTACTATAAGAACAATATCAATATGCAGAATTAAGTTTATTACAACAATGTGGAGGTAAGTTGATCAACAAAAACGTTTTTTTTTAATATTTTGCTAACTAATTTGTTTATTGCTGTTTTATTTATAATTAGATGGCACAACAGCAAGCTAGTGAAAACGCTCAAAGTGTAGCAAGACCGAGGAGAGTACGCACCTCATTTACGTCTTTCCAGCTGAACAAGCTGGAGGAGGCGTTCAAGAAGGTGCAATTCTTCTCAAGACCGGCGAGGTACAGCCTCTCGCTGGAACTGAATCTGCAGGAGAAGCAGATCAAAATTTGGTTTCAAAATCGCAGAATGAAGGAGAAGAAGAAGGAGAATATTAAAGTTGCTGCGAGTATGGCAACGGCCATGAACTCTCCGCCGATGTTAGATCAAAATCTCATACAAATGCCATCAACTTCATGGTACAACCCGAACTCTTCGAAGATAATGAATCATAACCTTGTATACCAAGGCAACGTTCAACCATATTCAGCATCAAATTCTCCGCATCAACAAATTAACTATGAGGGTATATCAATCTCTCCATCGTCTTACAATTCAAATTCGCCGTCGAGTTTGGATCAAAATCTCGTTTACCAAAACAACTTCATACCTTTTACTCGGACCTTTTGGAATTCATTAAAGATATCTAATTATTTCTCATGTTCTCAATTTTTTTAATACCATTAATAGCGCCCAGTGAATGTTTATTTCTTTTTACATACCAAATCCAAATTGTCAATATTGCCAAAAATCAATATTCCCTTATGTAAGATTTGTTAATTAAAGTAATGTACATATTCATAAATTGTAAATAACTTTCGTAGTAAAAACAAAAAAATTGAATTCATTTATGCATAATAAAATTTTAATTTTGTGATAATCTCTAGATATTTTCTTTCTTATTTATCTTTCTTATTTCTTTATATTAATTAAAATAATGAAAAATTCTACTTTTTAATATTTTCTTGCATTAATTTAATTGAATTTTCTTTTTTTTATATAATTTTACGCGGAAAGTATAATTTTAAAATTTATTCATTTTATTGATATTAAAGCCATCTATCATCTGACATAGATATCAAGGCTTATGAATGTGGTAAAAAGAAAAATAAAAATAAGGACACTATCA